GATCTACTTGTATTGTTAACGTTTCAAAAATACACGATAACAACATACATGTACATGTGCTAAGTCTTTGACTTGCAGTACCATTAGAAATTTAGTGACATATATTAAATTTTGCGTTGTGATTCAGGCTAAATGTAATAATTCACTTTCCTTGAAAAAGACGTAAATAGTAATCTAACAACAAAGCTTTATGCCAAAAGAGATGACTTTAACTTTCCAATCGTCAACTCCCCTTACGTAAGCAGCAGAATACTTTCATTACTTATATTCAGGGTTTATATCTCACAGCTGTTTCGATACGCAAGAGTATGCTCTACGTAAGAACAATTCAAACGAGGTAAGTTACTAAAAAATATCAACAGTCTCGTTTAAATTCATCATATCGTATGTTCTTTGGTCAATACTTTGACCTTATCAACAAATACAATTTACAAATGCAAGTCAAATGCTGACTGATAATTTTCATATTAATTTTTAAAGCATTTTATACACACTGAATTGTTAAAGAATTTTTCCACTAAATTCCGATTATGACAAGGAACACATAGCGGATGTGGCTGGAAGGCATGGGAATGCTCACTCCTCCATGTCATCTGATCCCACCTTTGATATTTTGGAGGTCTGTGCTTGCTCTGTTCCTATTTTTTTAATCATGTAATCGATTTGAGTTTGAATACTGTTCTTTATCTCCATATATTCCGTTTTGCGTAATTTAATTTTTGAGTTTAGTACAACGCAAAATGTTATAAAAAAAAAAATAATATATATATATATATATATATATATATATATATATATATATATATATATATATATATATATATATATATATATATATATATATATATGTTTTTTATAACATTTTGCGTTATTCTATGGATTGTGATCAAGGCAAAATATCCCAAAATTGATTTAACATAAAACCATTGGGAAATACACAATAGACTGACGGAACCATGACGTTACGTCTTTAATGGACATTACATTAATCCTAATGTATCTTTTTCCTTACTCTCTTTCTGATATTTTTATTAGATACTTATAAACTTAACATTGACTGTTATGTCTGTTTATAAATAAGTCTATATAGTTATATTAAACATCCAATCAATGACAATCTTAAATACTAGAGATTGACCATGGGTTCATTATTTTAAAAGAGCTTGATATGCATGTACGACGTACATTGAATAACAATTTAGAAGTGTATCGGTGTGTGTGTGTGTGTGTGTGACGGCGAGAGAGGGTGTGTGTGTATGTGTATCAGGCGAGGAGACGCAAGGATGATGTGGGGTAATCATGATTGTATTTCTATGGGCATGCAGAAACAATCCAGAGAGAGAGAGAGAAAACTATAGAAAATAAGTTTCAGTTGAGAGGAACTCTATATATTCAATCAGGGTTCTCCATGAGCTGTTTTACTGTGTTGCTCCCGACACAGTAAAATTTTCTCCGACACAGTAACAATTCAAATTTTATGCATGCGACACAGTAAAAATTTTGCCGACACAGTAAGATCTGTGATAATTAGAAAATCTAAACAAACTGAAACTTTAATCAAACAATTCTACCGTCTTTCATTTCTAAAAGCACTTAATTGCTAGGGCTTCACCTTGCATAATCAATTATCTCCTAGAACATGTAGACCCTCGCCTGGACTTTACGCATGTCGGAACAAAGACAAATAATTTGTTTTCACACCTCCATCTAACGGTTTATTAGTAGTCGCAATAAAAAAGCATTGTATTATTAAAAAAATAGTTAAATATGTCTTTTTCGGCTCTAGAATTATGTAAGCACTGTAAGTCAAACATAACATCGTACCGAAGTCATTTCATTGATGTAAATAAACTGCTTAAAATTTTCAACATGCTCAAGGAAATCATAAAACTATTTTTACTGTTCTGAAGGGTTTTTTTGTAATGCAATAACTCGATCAAGAAAACTGATAAGTAATCATGGCAAATTTACTTTCGAAAATGTTAAGAATGTTTCGGTCAGAATTTCCTTGGCTTTTCAGAATGTGTATGTACGACCATACCATTTGTGTAACGAATTAACGATTTTTTAATAAGTGTGTGCATGTATCCTTTAGGAATTATAATGAATAGTGATTCAGTTGTGAATTTGATCGCGAAAATACGGCGAAATTTTAGTGCTTCGAGTAAACTCGGCAACACAGAAAAATTTCAAATGATGGAGAACCCTGATTCAATTTCTATTCTATTCAGTTCCTTTTTTTTCTATATACAGTTTGTTGTAGTTACCATATTTGTTTTTTTTTCTATTAAAGAAATATATCTGGAACGTAATTACAACACAAATTTATCTATCTCAAAATGTCATACTTTGCACTATATTTAAATTGAAATTATGTATACAGACTCTTCTCTGTGTTGAGTAATAAAGTAAAAATTTATCAAAACACACTTCAACACTCTTTAAAACACATTGAATATCAGCAATTCATTTTTCAAGATCTAAAAATCATAAATTTCCAGGTTTTTGGACTTTGCTCTCCATAAAAACTTACGTCCTACATGTTGGGCATGCGCACTCTTCCATTCTTCTTCCATTCTTTCCGTTTCTTAACTTCATCCAGAACTCAACTAAAAATCATTCTCAGCCTGACTAATCAAAAAGTGTGTTATTTTGCGTACTTGTCCTTTGCTTTATCTCGACGCAAAATTTTACAAATCAAAAAGTAATGATCCAAAATATCATGCTTGATTCATATATATTTACATTTCCAATGTCTTCGTTCGAGATAAAATTACAAATAGTCAATGTACTTTATTTCTTCATGAATGCACTTTTCATCGATATTCGCGGTTAAAAAAATCACGTGCAGAGCGGGACAAATAGAGACAAGAAGCGGGGCTTGTAACATCTGGATTGGCATAATCAATGTCATGTAAATATAAGGAATAACTGTTTATTTTTCAATTTCATGACGATGATCAATCGACTGGCTTGCGTGATAATTTTATGCATAAGACGTTTATGCAAATTATCACGCAAGCAAATCGATTGATCACATCATGAAATCGAAAAATAAGACAGTTATTCCTTAATTAAAAGCATTTTTAAAAAGTAATCTGAGATTAATCCAGGCAATACTACACTAAAATGACTTTTCTATAGATAAAATAATCTTAGAGAGACATCAATTTAAGTTTAGTAAACATGACAGAGTATAATGTTTGAAAAATTCTTATAGTACAACAATATATAAAGTATGGAAAATTCATAGAATTAAAAATCATTAGCAATTAATTCATCATCTGACATGAAATATCGAATCCTTCTTAAAATTATAGTGTTATCAAAATGTTTTCCAAACGAATGTTACGAAAAAAATATTAAAACATTCAGCAATGTCCTTTGAATCTTTAAGAAATGTTTGTCTTTAAGAAATGTACATGTTGTGCTAGTTTTCTTAGATGGTAAAAATTGCTGACGTTTATCCCACATGTCATTGTGCTTGTTTTCAGCATTGTAAATAGCTTCTTCAAGAAATTCTTATTTGGCTTCTCGTATCTTTCTGCTCACCCTGTTTCTCGATGTTCTGTATAGACGCGTGCTCATCATTGGTGCGAACCGCCATTTTAGAAAATAAGTCATTTTCTTCTTCAAAAATGCCACTTCATTTTGAACATATTTTAAATATAACGTGAAACAGAATGAAACGATTTTGACGTAAATTAATGTGACGTATGCCTTCCAGGCTATACGACATAAACTAATTTTTTATCCCATCAAATGACCAGTTACAAGCAAAATTAAATTACATACTGGGAAAAGAAATTTTTTTTCAAAAAATTATTCATTTTCACTTTATTTTCATTAAAGTCCTTCCTTAACTCTAGAACCCCTGACCCTGGGTCATGAAGTTCAAAATTTTTGGTACAGGGCTCAATGCATATTAAAATCTTGCCAACTGTTTGACAGCTTGAAGTTGAGGAGTAGAAAAGCAAATTCTATCACAAAAACACTGAGAAAAATATTATACCAATTTTCTGTCTATACATAATGTAACACTATTTATATGTAAATTAGATTTTTGTTTCACTAATAAAAATTTGTTTTTGGTGGTTTACATATTACCAGAGAAATAAATGCAATAGGAATAGTTACGTACAGTGTTTGTAATTTGCTCCGGATCTTGTTCGTGAGCCGACAGACCATCTTGGCCTTCCTAAAAATCGTCAAGATATTATCAACATTACTATGACAGATTTTTTTTTTTAGAATTAGCAATTTTAAGGGAGAGATTTGAATCAATTATGGTTATACAAAATTTGGTAAGCACAATGTATTAGTTGAATGTTTACAAGATTAAAAACATTGTCTATGCCTTTTTGGACAACCCAAGTAACATAACTACCTTTCTGACATGAGTATCAAATAATAGTATAACAATGACATTCTGATAAATTATGTTTCCATTATTTAACTTGTTTTGTCCCTTCACTAAACACATAAGCATCGTTTTTTTAGTTTAAATTTCTTTCGATATACTTTCAAAGTTGAATAACAATGTTTAATGATATAATGTGATAGATAACTACAAACGATAGACAATGATTCACAGCGCCCAAGGGCAACTTATTTTGTACATGTATCATTGAAGACAATTGAGTAACAATATGATATATCAGTAATTTTAAAACACTTCACAAACTGACCAATAATTCCGCTATATCAATCAGGAAACCATTTTCTACCTCCAAATCAGCTTGAATAGATATTCGAAAACGCTAACTTTAATACAGATGGTTCATTTTAAAAAGTGTGTTTGAGTATTCAAATTTACAAATATTCTATTTATTCGATTAACACATTACATACTGGTAAACTTCGTATGTTCTTATCGATTACAGGTGTCATCGATCCGATAGATAAACTGATTAACAGGGCACAACTTGCGATAAATTTTATCTCTAACTGTTTAAAAGAGTTCTTCTGGTTTCATTAAAAAAACTTGTAACGAACATACATTTATTTTACATTACATCAGAATAGTTTAAATGTACATTTTGTTCCTGTGTATTCTGTTTGTCTCAATTCCAAAAGAATATCATCATGACAATGATATTGACTTCTACAAAGTTTTTTGCATGCTGCAGTGACAGTCCTTTCTAGTATTGGACATAACGTCCACCATCCACGACTATATCTCCTCCATTAATGTACGTTGCTTTATCAGAGGCCAGGAAAGAGACCACCGTGGCTACGTCTTCCTGCTCACCTACCCGACCAGAGGGATTTTGTATTCATATCAAGAAACTGGAACACAGGATATTTGAAAATGCATGCAGTAAAGTATTCCATGTATTTCAGTGTTAGTCCTCAGTAAAACAAATTGATATAATTGTATAATATAAAAATAATTCATATTAATATCTTACCAAATACTTTCTTCATCATGAGGAATGTGTATTAATTTTTATAATGTTGGCATTTCCTATAACTCGTATTTAGAAATTTCAAATTAATGAATCTTTCTTAAAATATAATTTTATACTTTTATATTTATGATAACTGCAAAAGCACTGATCTGTAAAATTTTTAATGTATATGATCGATGTATTCAATCATTTCATTAATTTTATTTTCTTTACAGTAACATATTTTTAAATAAGGTTTATTATATCCGGAATAGCAGGGTGAAAGAAGGCATTGTTAACTTTAAAAGAGAAAATGAATTCTGTTTGACCGATCATGACAAAGGAGGGTGTGCCTGGTCGACACAGGATGCTTTCTCCTGTATGGCACCTGATCCCACCTCTAATATTTTAGCAGTTTGCTCTGCTCTCGATTTGTACTATGTCAATTGAATTTTGAACCTGATTACTGTTTGTTATCTCCATATTTTTTTCTTATTTTTATTACGATTTAAAGTCATAATTCCAATTGATAATGACATTTTAAAATTAAAGATTTTGAGATACATGATTCGTCTCATTATATAACCTTACTGTACGATTCTTCATCCCCCAAACCAGGAAAATTATCACGTCTATGAAAATTGCTTCGAATCGGTCCAGGCCTGTTGATGATAATTAAAAAGAAAAACTGAATAGACAGAGCAAATAAATTCTTAAGAAAAGCATAGTTCAATTTGTTTGTTACCTCATTTCACATAAAAGAGGTTTCAAATTTTCTTACTGGAATATGTTCATTTGTTTAAACAATACCTTACGGTGTTTGCTCGAACTCCAAAGGGCGCTAACTCTGAAACAGGAGAGTAAAAGTGTCACTTGTGCTGTTAATATTGTTATGTAATTGAACTACTTTGTATTGATATTAGCGAGTGCAACAACTCGTTTACCCATACATAAGATTAGCATAGTCAAAATTGTAGATTGATTTCAAGGATAAGTATGAATAATTTCAAGCAGTTTTGCTTTGCTTGATACCAAAACATCACACTCTAAACACCGTAACGGCTCCAAAAGTGAAGAGATGAGTTAATTCATACCCAGTGCTAATCCTCTAGTGAAGGCATCCATGGCTGCTTTGGACATGGAATAAGAACAATTTCCAGGGATCTAAAAGTACATGAAAGAAAAGGGTCCTCAGAAAAAAGTGCATGCTTTATTATGAATATAAACGTTTTGTCCATTAAAAAAATCGTTGACTTTAAGAATTCCTTCAATGTGCAAGTAGACAGTGTACTTGATATACTGATGATGCAACCTGAAAAGAATGAAAAAAATGGAATATCTTTCAGCAATGGCACATCACGCATGAAGTGACTCGTTCAGAGTAGATGAAGACAGTCTAGTTTGTCTAGTTAAAATGAGTGAAAAAAGAGCACTGTGGCTAGGATATAGGCACAAAACAGTTTAGTATAAAAAAAACTTAAATGCATAAGTGGTCCCGACGTACCCCTAACGGGGAAAGGGGTAGGATTTGAACGAAGTTAAACCTATACTAACTAAATAAGGATGCTTACCTATTTTTTTTTACTAAATGTGCATATTTCCTTAAAATATTAACGTTCATTTTGGCCACACCCTACTACTGAGGCATGATTTGAACAAACTTGAATCTACACTATTTGAGGATATTTCCATATAAATATATATGACACATCATAGCTTTTCTTTCGTGAAAAGAAGATTGTTAAAGGTTTTCTTACATATTCCTATGTAATGTAAAACTTTGTGGTCCCGCCCTACCCCTGGGGGTCATGCTTTGAACCAATTTTAATCTACTCTATCTGACAATGATTCCACATCAATTTTATCCTTCCTGTTCCATTGATTCTTGATAAAAAGGTTGCTCTGCTTCAAGATTTGTATTTTAAATGGAATTTTGAGCTTGAATACCGTTCGTTATCTGTATATATTTCATGAACACAATACACACCTTTCGTTGCCTTGAGATATGGTATCACCAGCTGTGTGAGAAAATACGCTGACTTTGATGTTGACGTTCATGGTTTCGTCAAAGTTTTCCTCTGTTTCCGTTGAAATTGGCATATGTTTCCCCATACCAGCATTATTTACCTTGTATAAATAAATGTTATCACAAAGTCTGATACATATGTTTCGTATTTGGATATTTTATTAGAAATTTTAAAACACGTTAATAGCAATCTAACAATCAAGCTTTTTTTTTGATAAACTTGATGACTTGAACTTTTCAATTTTGACTAAATACATCATAATTATTGTTAAGTTCATTATTTAAACACTGAATTGTCCATAGATTTTCTTCTGTCAATTCCGATCATGACAAGGAGCACACGACGAGTGTAAGCGGCAGAAGATGCTCAAACTTCCATGATCCCACCCCTGAGATGTTATACCTTCATCACCAGCATACGGAGTTTATGTATCTCGGTTAATTTTATACGCAAGAGCATGCTCTACATATGAACAATTTCTAAAACGAGGTAAATTATTGACAAACAAGTTGATGAAACAAGAATATCAACAGTCTCTTTCAAATCATCATTTCGTAAGTTCTATGGTCGATACAATGAACTTGTCGTCAAATACAGTTTATCATTGAGTCAAATGCTGACTGACCTTTTTCATATTAATTGTTAGTCCATTATTTATACACTGATTTGACGACGGATTTTTCCGTTATTTTCCGATCATGGCAAGGAGCACACGGTGGATGTGACCGGTCGGCAGGGGTCCTCACTCTTCCATGGCACCTGATCCCACCTCTGATATTTTGGAGGTCCGTGTTTGCTCTGCTCCTGTTTTGCATATTTAATGGACTTTTGATCTTGAATGATATACAATTATGGACTTCAGTGTAGGTCGATATGTGATTATAAGGACTCATGGCAATTGATATTGACCGAGCCTGCGAGGTTCACTGAAGTCCATAATGGTTATATTATATAATCACTCAAATTTATTGCACTGACACAGCCCTAACTGAACGGACTTCGCTGTCATTACGTCACAATGGTCAAATTCACGCTTCTTATATTATGACGTCACGTACTATATTGTATCTTTTACTTTAGTGCAACCAAACGGCGTGTCGTGCCATATCATTTTCCGCGAACGCGCTTTCGCATCAATATCACAAAAGGAGGAATATCATGTGACGTACTTTCAGCCAATGAAAACTACGAAAATATCATCTTATATAATATTGTTCGTTATCTCCATATGTTTCATGTTTAGGAGGTCCATGTTTGTTCTAATCCAAAGTGTATATTGTTTCATGGACTTTAAAGCTTAAATACTGTTCATGATCTCCATAAATTTAATTTAAATAATTATATCTTTTAACTTCAAAGAAAATGAAAAGTTTTTTTCATGCTCATTGTCGGGCCATCCTTTACATATTGAATTGTCTGTAGATTTTTCCGTTTATCAGATGCTGACAAAAGCTCAAGGTGGAAGTGACTGATCGACAAGAGATGCTTTTTCCTCCATGACACCTAACTCATCTTCTATTGTTTGATAAATATCTGTTTATAAGGTTAAAAGGGGCCATATGGAATAATAGTATAAAATTTATTGCATAAACTTCTTGAGATATCTCCAGAAAATGAAAGGTATATACACTCACAGAATTTATGGATTTACAACTTGAAGTTTGACAATTTCAACTTAAGATAGATCAGAGAAAAACATGCAAAATGGTCCAGTAGCAAGGTTCTCCAATTTTCAAATTTTGCAAGCCAAATGGAAATTGGACAAATTTTTATTGTGCCAATCATACAGTATACCTTATATGACCTGTTACTAAAAGGCTTGCAATGAAAACCATTTATACTTTTTGTCATATTTGGAGAAGAATTAAAACTCAGACTCTCATTATTATCAAAATATTTAATTTTGAAATAAAACAACACAGGTTAGTACTTCTTAAGTGCATAGTAAAAATCACTGACATCCATTTTGTTTGTGCAAAAAGGTCATAAAATTGGCAATGTTCCAAATTTTTGAAAAAATGTCAATTTTCTAATAAATTGAAATAACACTGCAAAAATGGAAATTTTAATCTAGTAAATTTTACTGCTTATTGTTAAGGATGATTATGTGAACATAATATGAAAAAATTGCTGATGGCAAAAAAAACATACAAATATGTATTTTTCACGGCAAGTTTTTAAAGTGTTATACATAAAATACTTCAAAACTTTTCAAAACATTAAAAAAAACGTAACAGTGATTGTATTTTAAAAATTAACATTACAAATAGATAACACCTCTATAAATCAAAATAATCCATTGGAAAATATTTAATGAATCCCCTTTATCTCTTAAACTTAAAATGTAAGTAAAACAATATTGAAAATGTTTTAAGTCAACAAAACCAAACTTCTGTAAAAATTAATAAGTTTGATTATTTTTCAACATCTTTTGAATATAGCTCTCCTAAAATAGAATTCAGCAAACAAGTGCATAAAGGTCAAAATTAGCATTGTGATCTCTTATTCTACAATATATGGTATGTAATACATGAACTTCATATAATAATGTTGTTTACAGTAAACACACTTAAAATGAATTCATGGAATTTTAATGATTCCAAAACATGTTACACTTTTGGAACTAATTACTTTTATAATGATTCATACACTCTTTGATAGAAGTCATATTGTGATGTATAAATAAAAACAACTTATTTTGATATCCCATCAAACTGAAAATACTGTAACAAAGCATTTAATGAACATGAAACTTTTGGTCATAATAAGCATGTCAAAATAAAATATAACCTTTAATTTCCAATGTTCTAATTTTTGTGGTGGGGGGGGGGGGGAATTCAATGTATTTGGGGCATGGAGAAACCCACAAATTTATTTCTATCATGAAATATAAAATTTATATGCTTAATTACTACTCAACACTTCAACAACTGCAAAATAAAAGGTCCCCACATATCAATATTTTTTTTCTGAAGTCAAGTTCAAAATTTATTATCGTTATAAACTTACTGAATATTTACAGATGTAAACACATCATTCAATGGATCTGCATACAAGAAGGCACAGTGAAATAACATCTTTAAAACACCTTTCAGACAACAATTGATTTTTTAGGTGTGAATGACACACATATAATTTTAAAATGCATTTGTTAAAAAACATTTTTATCAGGTCACTGCCAAAACACTTTGTCACATTCTTCGCATATCATGCACAAGTTTGGAGAATGTATTGCTTTCTTCTGCTCTCCAGTGCCAAACCCATGCTTTCTCCGGTTGGCTCTCTCTGGACTCCATCATCAACTCTACCTGATTTGACTGCTTGTATCAATAAATTTTGAGACTCTCTAATGCTTTCACATTTTGTAGCATATAAATTTGCTGCTTTCATGTAAACTTAACCGTAAAACATTTTGAAAAAGAATTCATGTTGTTTTGTATTAATCTCGTGTATTTTGTAAATTTATATGTACAATGTGAAACAGTTTCCTGTGATCATCCTCTCTTAGAAAACCCTGTATTACCTATAATATCAAAAAAACATAAGCAATTTACTTTTGGTGATTTATTCAAAGAAAAAAGTGTACTTTTCATAATAGGACCGTTTACGGTAGCCTAGTGGTAGAGCGTTCCCTTCGTGATCGGGAGGTCCGGGTTCGATTCTCGTTCCCGGCACCACGTCAAACCTAAGACGTAAAAATAGGTAGTGACTGTTCCTTCACCAAGCGCTCGGCATCAGAAGTGAAAGTCATGGGTCTTTCGGATATGACCTTAAAAACGTAGGTCCCGTGTCACGGTAGGCACTGGCACGATAAAGAACCCTCACTGCTCAATGGCCCTGAGTGCCGAGTATAGGTCTAAATTTGAAGCCCTTCACCGGCTAACGGTGATGTCTCCATATGAGAGAAAAATTCTCGAGAAAGACGATAAACAATATATACATTCAATCAATCATAATGATAGGATGAATAAATATGTTGTTAGAAAACAAACCACTTTAAGTACTTCATTGATCTTGTACTGCATCATGAAAAAAGTGCCCCAGTGCTTTTAGAATAATTTGATAACTGACCTCTTTTGAAAAAAAAAACTTTACTTTGACTTAACCATGTTTACCTACCACAATCCAAATATATCATATGTCATGACATGTGACTTTTGTAAATGGTCAAATTACAAATTAGAAGATAATGTATGGGTTTTTTTTAATTTTTATGAACAGTGTTGCCATGGTTAATAAAAAATAGAAATTTCTGTGAAATACTTTCAAAAGGCTATTCTAAATACAGTTTTAGTCTGATTATAATATAATGTGGCATGCAAATAGACTACACAGAGAAACATAATTGTTGTTTTTGTTTTTTTATATTGATGAATGATTTTGTCACAGTAACTAAAATTGAAAATTTTGTAAAATTTTATAAAAGCAGCTCCTACAGGTGTGGTTTTATTGCAATCTTGCCACAAAAAGAGGCTTTATCAAGATTCATTATTCTATTTATTGCACTTGTAAAGTTTCAAGACCCAGCTGCTACTTTTTTCTTCCTTTGTTTGTTATAAGTACAAACCAAAAGAGCTACAGTCTCAACAGAGATTTTTGGTTTGTTTTGTTACATGTATGTTGCACTATTACAAAGTATCATAATATAAACAGGTATTACATGTACTATAAATTATAGTTATGCATTTTGGCCAGTTCTTTTAAAATCAACTGGCCCAGTGGGATAACAAGAGTATTGAGTTATTAAAAAATCAAGGTGATAGCCTAAGTGACAAGTGAAAAATATAATTATTAATTTTCTAGCCCTACACTTTACCATATGAATTTGCTTCAGGGTTTTCTGTTTCTCTTCTGATTTGGTTGGATCCAATAAATACTGCAGCACATGGACAACTGTTGCTATAAGAAAGAATTTTAATCAATTGTAAATAATGTATAATTCAAGAGAGGAATTATAAAATATATGGGAGATGATTAAAACCTCTATCAGGTGTACTAGCAATCATATACTGTCTAGTACATGCTAAAATTTTCAGTATAAACTTTATGAGTGGCAGTATATTTTTATGATTTTTTATCAATGTTCTTGATTTTCAAAATATCATCAATTTGAAGAATCTATAGGCACTCAGTTTAATTTTGTATAAATCTTTATGTAATTATGGTGATGAAATATTTGTGTGAACAACTAAATTTGAAAAATTGTCCTTGCATGTATTAAAAAATACCTATTTCCTCTTCTAAAAAATACTTGGTCCAAACTCATACATTTATTATTTTAACTTCCAACTGAAAATTCTTTGTATCCTGATCCAACTGGTATCATTTTCAACCAGTATTCTTTACAAAAGGTAGGGGTAGCCCATAGGTCTGCTTTTGCTTTCTTCCATTTGATCAGGACGGCAGCACTTTGACTTACTTTTTTGCCATTTTAATCCTTAATTGTCTTTGACATACTTATAATTTTAATGTGCTAGTAGTGTCAATGGAATACCATTTCTTTAGGCCTACAGAATGCAGCAAAACGATCGCCTCTGGTTCATAAATTTTCCATACAACCCAGCTAGGGTATGTTCAGAGATTTGAGTAAACGCAAATTGTTTGAAAGATCCTTAGTATATTCTTATAAATAAATTTATTGGGCCATCACTGCTTGAAATGTTTGAAAAATTGCTGAAATCACATTGTTCTTCTGCCCCTGCCAAATAATTAATGGAGAGTTCTCGGGAGATAACTCTTCAACACACAAATAACACTCATGTTATTATCTTTCTTTATCAATTTTGGTGAATATTTTAAACTTTCATGAAGGTTTTAATTTTGATTGTCTTTCTCAGCATTTATTTACACTAAAATAAAATTATTAATCGTCAATTGAAGAAATATTCATTACATTTGAACAATTTTAAGATACAAATGGAGAGCTTGCCTAACATCGCAAGGTCATCATTTCCACCAATTATTTGTTATATGTCCTAAAAGCCATCAGTGAATTTTTTATATTTGATAGAACATAAATAAATTATTATAAAGCACATTATTAGATCAAATTATTTTCTCCATTTAAGCTGTACCATTGCACTAAACAAGGATAATAAATCTAAAGTTCTAAATTTAGCCTTACTCGTGGCTCGATCATAGAATACATATAGATGCAATCATTGTGAATAATAAATATTTTTCATCTGTGACATATATGTGTTGATGATGTAATAAATATCTGCATTGCAAAAATTTTTCAATTGATTTTGCAAGGTCTCAAACTTTCATATTTGCACCTACTATTTTATGCAAATTTTTGCTAAATATAAAAAACTAAAAATAGAAACACGTGGCACATATATATAGACCTTAAAAATCTATGATAAAATGAAACGTTTTGTACCCTCCCACATTTTGCATGTTTTTCTCTGAAAATAGATCGAGGTGCCTTTTTAGGCCAAATGGTGTATCATTACAAAAAACATATATCGTTTGGATACGAAAGAGTTTCAGACAGACAGAAATACAAACGGACGGACGGACAGAAATTAATATTCCCCATTTTGTGAAAGCAGGGGACAGAAATTGATTCGATCTCCAAAACACTAGATTTTTGGTTCTTATCGTCTATTGCCAAAAAAACATACAAATATGTATGTTTGCGGCAGTTTTTAAGATCTATTTAATTTCGCGTTTACAACGCAGTGATTGTTTTAACATTCAAATTGTTACAGTCTAAGAAATATTTAATGAATTACTTACAAGAACATCCAATCTTCCAAAATGTCCAATTGTTTGTTCCACGAGCGACTTTCTAAAATCTCTGGAAGTTAAGTCACCCGCGCAGAGGAGAACCTGAGTAAAATAGGTAAGTAGAGCATAAAAGCGGAATTTTAATTTCAACCTTTTGGTTTAATGGGCGAGTTTTATTTCGCCTTGCATGGTAAAGCAGACTGTTTGGTATAATAAGCAGTAAAATATAAAATCGCTAAGAATTCCTTAGAAAACATTAACATTTTTAAAAAGCTGCCTCGCTAAAAAAGTCAAGATATTGTAAAGTAATCGCAATGGATTGCACAAGAAGGCACAGTGAAATAACTCCACTTACCAAGTTAGGTGTGAATCACACATTAATTTTAAAATGCTTGTTAACAATGGTCACTGAAACACTTTTAGTAAGTTTGGCATATATTGGCAAAATATCTGTATTTTCGAAAGTATTCTACGAATAGATTAAAAAAGCTTCAATCAAACCTTTCATGTAAACTTAACCGTAAAACATGAAAGAATTCATGTTGTTTTGTCGTGGATTTTGCATTTAATGTACATGTGAAGTTCCGCTTACCATTCTAAATCAAAAAAACATACATTTTATTCATTAAAAAAAGTTACCCTAGATCATTGGTGAGAATCTTATGAATATTCAGCAACTAACCTTGTCAGGCGATAAACCCTCCTTCACACATTTCTCTTTCACCGCCTCTAGATTACCATTATTTCTTCCGGTCAAGGACAACCTTGCTCCGGTCTTGGCGAGATGGACAGCAATGCCTTCCCCAATACCGGAGCTGGAACCTACAGCACGTTAATATTATGATAAATGCACCTCCGTAATGAGAAGTATTCGAATATTTCATACATTGATTTCTGTCTTGTGGCACGTTAATATTATGATATATGTATATTTGTCATAAGAAGTATTTTAATACATTGATTTTAATACTAGAATTACTCACCTGTGATAAGAAACACCCTGTCCTTATGTTCATCCATGGATCAGCTATCATTGAGTGTCCTATACAGTATTAACTCTTATAAGGTAGAATATTTAAACAGGTGGAGAATGAACGCTTGAGTAAAATTTTAAATATAGTTTCTCAAAGTGATACGGAAGCCCATTTAGGACGTGTGAGGCTTTAATGGATCATTTAATTTTCACAAGGAGGTATATTCAGAAAATGGTGATTTTTAAAACAAAATTCTGAGTAACTTGTAAGTAAAGGTCTACAATCAAAATTTTTTTTATACCTTTTAAATATATGTCTATTTATCTATAACTAATAAAAAGTCCAACAAAAAATGTTTATAACATCAATCTTACAATATCCTGTTATCCTAATAATGACCCACAGGCGGTTGACGTTTTTAACTTTTCATAAATTAAAACATCCCTATAATTTTTATAGTATCAGGGAAATTTTAATTTATGAGAAGAAAGGTTCAAAACGTCAAACGTCTGTGCAATGACCGATCTGCCAGTCGAACATAGGTATTGTTAGACGGCAACGGTTCTGTTACGTCACAAATAATTAATCGTCGTTCAATATCGGCGAAATTTCCTATGTTTAAAGCCGCGAGAATTGTCGCGTGCTATTTGATCGACAGAAACACGGGAAAAGTATGTTTTGTGATAACTAATTTTTGTGATAAAATAATTTTTGTCAAATCCCTTTGCTCTCATTTATTTTGGCTCTGTTTGATTTTCATAAATCACTCAAAACAAATTAGAATTGAAAATGGTCATTTATTAATTAAATACTGGAACAAACCACTGACTACAAAAATTATCCAATAAAAAACATGACCCAGATATATATCAAAAACATATACTATCACATTTGCATCGAAAACATCTCTTGAACAAAGAATACATAATATATTCAAAGATCAAAATTGAAAATCAAAGGTATCTTAAAATTGCAGTATACTTGAAAAAGGTATTAAAAAGTAATACCCCATTTTCATCAACCTTTACATTCTCTGCCACTGTTTTATTTTTATTGTACAAGCCAAAATAGGATTGATTATATGTTGATTTATTTGTAAGAATGTTTAAGATGAAGTGATAGAACTAAAAAAAAAACCTACAAAAAATAGAATTGTTAATTGGTAAAACAAATGAACCTCTGTAAATTCCAAATGAGGGATCTGGTGCATATCAACGAGTACATGTAAGCATTCCCTGTTGACAAGTCACACCCGCCGTGATTTTTGTGCATTGATCAGGATGTCAAAACTTTCAGTAGTCAAATTCAGTACTATTAAAGCAAAAGTCAAATTGGTTTGAAACAATTCGGTAAAAACACTACCCAGTGAAAGGAATGCTTTATTTGTTAAAAACATGCCGACATTAAAAGGCGTTCTTAAATACAACATATCATCATTTATTACATTGATTGTTTTAAAAATTAAACGAACTTTGGACAAGCTCCTGAGTAGCAATTAAAATTGGATACATAAACACCATAAGCAGATGTTAGTGGACTACTTCAATAAGAAAAGTTGAAGATGGAAAAGCTGAAGTCATCTCGTTTGTCATACAATTAAGTTGTGGGTTATCTTTAATCGTCTACAGTCAGTAAAACATCCAAATATGAAACAGGTGTTGCAGATTCTGTGTTTTCTTTTATTTGAAGTCCACCGGGATATATCGAGTCAAAATATGAATGAAAATAACTACCCTAAAGCCTTAAAATTAGACAGATTTGATAATCAGATAATTTGAAAAATAAGCCACCTATTTCTTGCATTGAAAACTACCAGGTGTTGTTATTTGATAAATCATATATTAAAGACCACAACATGTGTTTTTCTTTTCTCGTGTAGAGGTTTTTGAATAAGATCTACTTCATTGGAATATAAAAAGAGATCGATATATCAGCTATTAAAGGATATTAGAAAGAAAAAACTACATACTGGAGTTCCAAAGGTTTGTTGAAAAAAATTGGTCTTCGAAGACTATATAAATATTTTTACTGAGGAGCTTCAGCATTCCTTCAATTTCAACTCCAGGGTATTTGTGTGTTTAATAAAAGTTGTGTTTTAAGAAGTAATTTTGCTGATGACAAGTCTCAAGATCTGAAAATTTTAAGTGCCCATTTTGAAGAAATACTCGTCTATCTTTCATGCATGTTTATTCTTGTAATAAACACTTAAGGGGAACCAATTGTAAATTTCACTACAAAAGTCAAGTGAAGCTAAACTCGGTATAGCACAGCTTTTTTCCGAGGAGAAAAAATAAATACTTTTTGTAATACTTAATGCACGTAATGTCGACTGAACAAGGCTGCAATGAATTTCTATTATCTACAGATTCTCCTTAGAATGTAATCACATTTGTATTATATGCATTCTACTTGTTCTTGCGTGAATGTTCGAGACAGCCCCTACCACCCCCTCCCCCGGGCATTAAAGGTCTATACATTACAAGCGTGGATGGAGAATTAACGAATTGCGTGAACTATATGGAGCTCAATATATTAAATTAGTTTAGACTTACGTACCTGATTTTTTTAGTAATTTTGTTTTTACTAAAATTCAGATTTTAAGTTTAGAAAAAGTACGGCTACATATCAGATTCCGAGGTTCTCTTAATTCCATTGGAATAACTTGTAAAAATTTATGACATTTTAAACTATTTCATGCAGGGAAATTCATTGTAAAATAAACTTGCATCAAGAATAAAAAAAATAAGATTATTATAATAACGAAAAGTAATAAAAAATATCAATTTATAACATTTTCAATTTCATGGTCCTTTTTTATAAAGTTTTAAATACATATAAAACTAAATCTGAACATTCAAATTAACAACTTTTGTCTAATAATATAAATTGATAGATAACTACAAAAGGTAGAAAATAATTCACAGCGCTCAAAGGCAATTTATTACATATCATTGAAGACAATGGAGTAACACCATGATGTAACAGACAGTTATTAACACTTCACAAACTGACTAATAATCCTGCGATCTCGATTAGGAACCATAACTATAATTGTCAACGTTAATACAGAATGTTCATTCAAAAAAGAGTGTTAGAATATTGCGTTAAAATTTTTCAACATTATATTTTCCCTCATTGACCGATTACACACTTTCTAATCGATTACCATCGATCAGATAGCGTAACTGATTGACAGGTTACTAATTCCAATAAATTTCATATTTAATTGTTAAAAAGAGTTCTTCTGCTTTCATCAAAAACATGTAACGAACATACATTTGTTTTACATTACGTCTTAACACTTTAAATGTTAATTTTGTTGCTGCATATTCTGTTTGTCTCAATTCCAAAAGAATATCATCATGACAATGATATTGACGTCTACTAAGTTTTTTGCATGCTGCAGTGACAGTCCTTTCTAGTACTGGACATAACGTCCACCATCCACGACTATATCTCCTCCATTAATGTACGATGCTTTATCAGAGGCCAGGAAAGAGACAACCGTGGCTACGTCTTCCTGCTCACCGACCCGACCAGAGGGATTCTCTTTTGCTCTCGTATCAAGAAACTGGAACACAGGATATTCGGTATGCATGCAGTAAATTATTCCATGTATTTCAGTGTTAGACTTCCGTAAAACAAATTGATATAATTGCATAATATAAAGATAATTCATATTAATATCTTACCGAATACTTTCTACGTGATTAGGAATGTGTATTAATATTTTTTATGTTGACAATCCCTATAACTCGTATTTAGAACTTTCAAATTTATAAATCTTTCTTAAAGTATTATTTTATACTTTTGTATTTATGATAACTGCAAAAGCACTGATTTGTAAACTGTTTAATGTATATGATCGATTTATACAATTTTTTCATTAATTTTATTTTCTTTCCAATAACATATTTTAACTAGATTTATTATATCCGGAATGGTCGGATGAAAGTAGGTATTGTTGAAAGTAAAAGGAAAAAGAATTCTGTTTTCCCGATTATGACAAAGGAGGATGATCCAACCTCTAATATTTTAGCGGCCCGAGTTTCCTCTGCTCCCAATCTGTACTGTTTCAATTGACTTTTGAGCGTGATTACGAGGGGTGATCAAAAAGTTCGCGAACTATCTCTATATCTACAAAACCACAATTCAGATTAGAATAAAATTTGGTACACACATAGCCATACACAAGTTCTATAAATAGCATACGTGTTTGTGACGTCACACTATGCAAATAACGTCACTGTGTAGGACACTTGTGACGAAAAATGTTTTTTTCAGTCGTAATCGTTGAACAAACGACTGAACAATTTATTGTATATCATAATTTGTACACAGTTAATTAAGGCAAAATGACTTCCTATAAATTCCAATTATCGTTTTATAATGTTAAAAATAATATATGCCCAGTTAAAAATTGAAAATATATGTGTTTTTAATTAAGCAATTTGCTATCAAAGACGTCGAATTTAAACCTTGAATACTTGTTGAATATTTGAACAAAAATACAATTATTAAATACCGAAGATATCGTTTGCTTTAAATTTTAAACATATTAGATATGGTGATAAGGAGGCACTCATTCTCTATCCACCTCGAATAAACGTCTTTCCCGAGACAGAAGATTTGTGTTTTAATGGTTGCCATGCTTATTTTTGGAAAAGATGTTCTTATCCACCCATTCTGTTGCCGAGATTTGACTATTTCTGACAAATGAACTGTTCTTGTTATAAAAATTAACTTACATTGAAAGAAATATAAAACCAGAAAAATCTTTCAGCTTTTGTGACAGAACGCTACGGAGGGGGTCATGTGACCGCCAATATCACGTGATTCGCGCATGCGCAGAACGGTGGTTGATGTTCATTAAAACTAGAGACGACTAATTTAAAATATAATAAACACTGACACTAAATATTGTTTCTTTTATGGAAGTTATTTGATTAGTTCGCGAACTTTTTGATCACCTCTCGTACTGTTTGTTTTCTCCATCTTCATACCTTATTTTAATTACGTTTTTAAAATAATAAATCCAATTAATAATGATATTTAAAAATTAAAGATTTTATATACATGATTCCTCATGTTATATATACCTTATTGTACGATCCTTCATTCCCCAAACTAGGAACGTTATCACGTCTCAGAAAATTGCTTCGAATTAGTCCAGGCCTGTAGATGATAATTAAAGAACAAAAACTGAATAGACAGAGCAAATAAATTCTTAAGAAATGCATAGTTCAATTTTTTTTACCTCATTTCACATAAAATATGTTTCAAATCTTCACACTGGAATATTTTCATTTGTTTAAACAATACCTCACAGTGTTTGCTCGCACTCCAAAGGGCGCTAACTCTGAAACAGGAGAGTAAAAGTGTCATGTCTGCTTTAATATTGTTATGTAATTCAACTGCTTTCTATTGATTTTAGAGAGTGCAATAACTTGTTTACCCATACATAAGATTAACATAGTCAAATTTGTAGATTGATTTCATGGATATGGTTGAATAATTTCAAGTAGTTTTGCTCTGCTTGAATCCAGAACATCACACTCTAAACACTGTAACGGCTCCAAAGGTGAAGAGATGAGTTAATTTATACCCTGTGCTAATCCTCTAGTGAAGGCATCCATGGCTGCTTTGGACATTGAATAAGAGCAATTTCCAGGGATCTACATGTACGTGAAAGAAAAGAGTCTTAAAATATTGTGCATGCTTTACTATGTATGAATTTAAACGTTTTGTCCATTTTTTAAAAAGAGTTTTCGTTCACTTTAAAAATACCTTCGAAGTGCAAGTGGACAGTACACTTGATATATTGATGATGCAACCTGAAAAAAATGAAAAAAAAATACAGTATCTTTCAACTACGATACATCTAGCATGAGATGACTCATTAAAAGCAAAAAAGGACATGATTTGAACAAACTTGAATCTATACTAACTGAGGATGCTTCCATATAAATGTGATTACCTATAGCTTTGTTGTTCTTGAGAAAAAGATTTTTATCTATAAAGATTTACCTTCATATTCCTATGAAAAATTTTGTGGTCCCGCCCGACCCCTGAGGGGTCATGCTTTGAACCTGTTTGATTTTTCACAATCTAACAATGATTTCTCATCAGATTTATCTTTCCTGTCCCATTGATTCTTAAGAAGAAGATTTCTCCATGATGCCATTTATTTTTCGCTTTTTGGTAATTATTACCCCTTGGTGAAAGACTTTGATACCCCTTTACACAAGGACATGCTATGCCAAATTTGGTTAAAATTAGGTCAGAAGTTCTGGAGAAGAAGATGAAATTGTCTCAAGTTATTGACAATGACGATAACAGATATAGGACAAATGGTGGGGTCTCTCAAGTTTATCACTTTCGGTCTTCGCGGTTTTTTAACCCCACCTTTGCAAATTTATTGTCATTTATTAATTCATTTTTGGTTAATCAATGTTTGACATTAATTTCATCGTATGATTGAATATATTTATGGTAAATTGAATAAATGACCTTTTTTACAAAAAGAAGTTGTTCTGTCTGTCATTGCAAATGAACTCAGACTCAATGGAGAACATAACTGGTTGTTTCTTGTTGACAAATAAAAGGTATTTTATGGAAACAAAATATGGAATGAAATTTAAAGTTTTTAGTTATGGGAAAAATTTGGGTCTCAAAAATAGGACAAATTGTGAACAGAAAAGCCCAATTAAGCCTTGATTCATTATTATCTCCAATAGTGCCCAAACGTTAATATTTTCACAATGTGTTTCATCAGATTTTTAAAAAATGTGTAATTAGATAAAGACAGTAAGGCCAGAATCAGCGGACAATTTATAATTCTGATTCAGGCTTTTTTTCAGAATGGAAAGTAAAACCCAAACTGTTACTTGAAAGATATTACAAATTCATCTTTACATTCGTCCTTAAGCATGGGATGCTCATTTCTTCCACCTCTGATGTTTTTGAGGTTTATGGTTGCTCTGCTTCAAAATTTGTATTTTTAATGGACCTTTGAGCTTGAATACCGTTTAATATGATTACAATGCACTTTTACCTTTCGTAGCCTTGACATATGGTATCACCAGCTGTGTGAGAAAATACGCTGACTTGATGTTGACATTCATGATTTCGTCAAAGTTTTCCTCTGTTTCCGTTGAAATTGGCATAGGCTTCCCCATACCAGCATTATTTACCTTGTATAAATAAAGATGTAAATAAAAAATATCACAAAGTCGGATACATATGTTTCGTATTTGGATATTTTACTAGAATTTTAAAACACGTTAAGGATAATCTTACGAATACGCTTCATGATAAACATATTGACTTAATTTTAACATATTTATTGCTTAGGTCATTATTTAAATACTGAATTGTCCACAAATTTTCTTCTGTTATTTCCCTTGCATGATAAGGAACATACGACGGGTGTGAACGGCAGAAGATGCTCAATCCCACCTCTGAGATGTTTTAGTGGTCCATGTTTGCTCTGATCCAAAGTCTATATTGTTTAATGGATTTTTTATGCTTAAAAACTGCTCGTGTTCTCCATAAATTTCATTTAAATGATTATATCTCTGAACTGACGAAAATTAAAAGTGTTTTTTTCATGCCCATTGTCATGTCATCGTTTACATATTGAATTATCTTTAGATTTTTCCGTTTTTCAGATGATGACAAAAGCACACTGTGGATGTGACTGGTCGACAGGGGATGCTTACCCTTCCATGACAACTAATTCGTCCTCTATTGGTTTTCTAAATGTCTGTTAATAGGATTAATAATTGACGGACGGAAGGACCGACGGACCGACCGAAATTAATATTCCTCCAGCTTGTGAAAGCGGAGGACAAAAAGTGATTCGATCTCCAAAAACTATATTTTTGGTTCTTATCGTCTATTGTCAAAAACATACAAATATATATGATATTGTTGCAGCAGACTTTAAGATCTATTTAATTTTAAGTTAAAAACGCAATGATTGTTCTTTACTTTCATATTGTTAAAGGCTTTAAAACATCGTTGACATTAATGAATTACTTACAAGAACATCAAGTCTTCCGAAATGTCCAATTGTTTGTTCCACGAGCGACTTTCTAAAATCTCTCGAAGTTAAGTCACCAACGGAGAGTAGAATCTGTATGGAATAAGTTCGTAGAACATAGAAAAAGGGTAGCGTAAAGCGGAATTCAACACCTCCCTTTGGTATAATGGATGAGTTTAATTTCGCCTTGTAAGGTTAAGTGGACTACTAGTATATGTTTGGTATAACAAGAGTAAAGTATAATCTTGCAAAGGATTTCCCTAGAAACCAACATTGAAATCCCAGCTGACTCGCTAAAAGGTATCCTGTGAGTCAAGTTCTTTACATTGTAACGTCTTGCAATGGATTGTACCAGATCTAGAGGACAAGGTGCAATAATGCCACTTTGCAATTTATGTGTGAAGCACACAATTATTGTAAAATGCTTGTACACATTTAGGTGTGTAAGCGCTCAGTAATTATAAAATGCTTGTTAACATTTGTCATTGAAACATTTTTTTAAGTTTTGGCATACCGGTATATTGGCAAAATATCTCGTTTTTCGATAATTTTCTATTAAAAGATGTAAAAAAAATCTTTAATTAAACTATCTTTCCATGTAAACTTAAGTATGAAAACATGAAAGCACTCGTGTTGTTTTGCACTAAGTAATGCATTTAATGTACATGTGAAGTTCTGCTTACCATTCTAAATAGAAAAAAAAAACCATAAATTTATTCAATAGAAAAAATACCCTAAATCATTGGTGAGAATCTTATGAATATTCAGTAACTAACCTTATCAGGCGATAAACCCTCCTTCACACATTTATCTTTCACCGCCTCTAGATTGACATTATTTCTTCCTGTCAAGGACAACCCTGCTGCGGTCTTGGCGAGATGGACAGCAATGCCTTCCCCAATACCGGAGCTGGAACCTGCAGCACGTTAATATTATGATATAAATATATTTGTCATAAGAAGTATTTTAATACAGTGATTTTAATACTAGAATTACTCACCTGTGATAAGAAACACTCTGTCCTTATGTTCATCCATGGATCAGCTATCATCGCGTGTCCTATGCAATGGCATGCATTAACCAGCTATCATCGCGTGTCCTATACAATGACCCGCATTAACTCTTATAAGGTAGAGAACAGGTACAGGTGGGGAATAAGCGCTTGAGTAAAATTTTAAATATAGTTTCTCACAGTTAAGTTTTAACGGATCTCTAAAACAAAATACTAAGTAATGTTGTAAAAATCTACAATCAATTTTTTGGTTATACTCTTTGAATACCTTTCTATATTTTTAATACCACTAAAACGTCCAACAAAAATGTTTATACAATTAGAATCAGTCTAACAATATCATTGTTAACCAGCCTTTAGGTCAAACATAAGAATTGTTAGACGGCAACGTCACTGTTATCTCGTCGTTCTATATTGGCGACACGGATATTGCCTCTGTTTAAATCCGCGAGAGTTATCTTGTGCTATATGAACAACAGAAACAAGGGAAAAGTATGTTTTGTAATAACTAATTTTTGTGATATAATAATGTTTTTTTTAACTTTTACATTCTTTGCTATAGCTTTATCTTTATTGTGCAAGCCAATTTTTTTCTTTAGGATTGATTATATGTTGATTTAATCTAGCTATATTGATAGTTTGAATGTTTGTAAGAATGTTAAAGTTGACGTGAAAGATTTCAAAATAACTTAAAAAATAAAAATGTTAATGGGTATAACAAATCAACATATGTAGATTCCAGAGGTGGGATATGATATGAAAAGTAAGCATTCCCTGTTGACAGCCGCCGTACTTTTTGTGTATTAATCAGGTTGACGGAACTTTCCGAAGTCGAATTCAATACGATAAAAACAAGTGTTCCACAAGATTGGTTGTAAAACAAATCAGTAAAAACTCGACTTATGTAGTGAAAGGAAAGTTTTATTTGTTAACAACATGCCGACTTTTAACGAGGATCTTAAAATAACGGTTACAACAAATCATCATTTAGATGCATTCCCCGCTTAAAAATTATATTAACTTTGTGTAAACACCCGAGTCGCCAAATAACTTGGGACACATAAACAAAAGCAGGTGATAGTGGGATATTACTATATGAATAAGGAAAGTTGATGATGGAAAGCTGAAGTCATCTCGTTTGTCATACAATTAAGTTGTGGGTATTTTTTAATCGTCTATAGTCAGTAAAACATCCAAATATGAAACAGGTGTTGCAGATTCTGTGCTTTCTTTTATTTGAAGTCCACCGGGATATATCGAGTCGAAATTTGAAAGAAAACATCAATGCAAGGAAAGCAGAAGATATTCAAATCTGAAATAGTGATCATTATATATCAGACTGTCTTCAAAGCAAACTAAATAAATAAATTTTCAAAAATTAACATTTTAATGCATTTGCTCATGAAATGGATTCATCGATATTATAAAGTCAAAAATAAATGATAAGAATTTATTGTCATCAAAATGAAGATGTAGATCTACACTCCTGTAAACTTTTCATTCAACCATCAATTTCCTGAAACACAATAACAATTATTTATACCTGAATAATTGTCACATTTGATAATGTCCATGGTTTCTGCAGAGTAGGCTATGCAAGGCGCGGTACAAAATAAAAAAAAAAATCCTTGTGTCTTTCGCAGCTGTAGCATATTTAAAACAATTTTTACTACTTGAACTTTTCAATTCTAATACACAGTGGATTTTACCACGTCATTATTATACGGAAAATCATGTCGATTTCCTTTCATATCTTACACACTCACAGTACGTATTGTAAACTTTTCATTTAAATCATCAATTTCCTGATGAGAAATGATAATAAAATTGAAACACAATAACAATTATTTATACTTAATTTAAAGCAATTGTTTTAAATGTTTTACTCATGATTTTATACATGTTATCATTGAAGTATTATTTTACTGAACTTATAGAAAAGTAACGTCTCATATCCCCATGTGCACTTTATAACACAAACCACAAATAGATCGGCCACTAATATATCAATTAATGAACATCATTAAAATTATTTTTCAGATGCTTAAAGTTATGATAAACTTTATGAAATAAGGAGGTTTTCACCGAAATTTGTCATTTCCAAATCAGGACCAACTGAAGTCCCTATTTTTCTCTAAATAGATAGGTTATTTTCTCTAAACTAAAAATTTAAAATAACTTTAAATATCGCTTACTTCCTCTGTATTCAATTTTGAATGTTCAAGCTTAATTCTGTGCCATTTGTTCTCAGAAGGACCTTTTGCGTTGGCCATGCATGTTTTCCTGGTACTGTGAAAGTATATATCTATCTTCTTCCTTAAAGAGAACTACTTCCTTTGGTCTGTTATTATGCTATATTAGGTACAAATACGGAATCACATGAAACAAACAGGAAACACTTGATGAATTCAATCCACTTTAGTTTGAATAAGTGTTTCACAGTATTTTCAAGGATGGTCAATTAAACAAGACATGAGAACAAGAACATGAAGTCTCCGTGAAATGTACATGTGCAAGCAAGTAGTAAATATTGATAAAATAACACTTGACGATAATCTTATATGAATGTTATTTCACTTTTTGCGTTTTCATTTACAACAAGGTTTCCAACATACCTCATTACGAAACTAATTGTATTTCAGGAATCATATATCTTTCACATCTTTTTTGTTTTCAAATATCAGTAGTAAAAATCTATTTGGTTCTTATTCATTTGTTTATTCATTTGCAAACATTTCTTATTTCTTCACCCTTGCTTAATTTGTACCAAGCATTCAACATAATGTGTTATAGTTATTACATGTAAAATTTAATTTTTAACAAGAAGTGCTTGTGAGGTAAGATTAAAATTATAAGACTAGATTTTCTGTTCTGATATTGTACATGTGTTGTGATTTTTGTCTTTATAGCAAGTACTTTGTTTCTCGTAGTGCAACTCATCTGAATCAATTGTTCTGATGCAAAACATTATATGTTTCTTGTTCAATGTTATATTCATTAATAACAACACGTGGCCTAACGACAGGATCTAAGATCATTTGTGATTCCCTGACTGAGTCGTAGCTGGCATCCTCAACCGCCATCTTGTCCTCGGTAACCATTTTATTCACAGATTTGGCTGAAAATAAAACGTTTGGAAAACGTCACCAAAATAAATATAGGATTACTTCCACAATTACACTAAACCATTTAACAAATTCAGTATTTATTTTAATTTTGCATACTTACTTTTATAGAGAGAAGTCTTTGGTTCAATAGGAATAGGTCTCCTATTATACAGAAAAAATTGATATACAGGTTCAATTGAGGTTCTCTTTAAATAAGATGGAAAGTATCTTTTTACATTATTTTGTGTCAGCCACCTTTGATACATATTCTTATAAGTCATTAAAGTTTATTCATTATATGTTTCTAGAGATATATACCCTAAATTTTTGGCGAGATATAAGAAATATATGGCGATAAGAAATATACACTTAAGAAATAAAAATATACTCAGCGAGCAAGAAGTTAATAATATATAACACTAAATAAATATCATGTCTACTGTGGACGGAAGGAGAAAAATTTAACCTTCCAACCTTTTTTCCAAAATTGTGATGTAGATAACTAAATAATATAAACAAGGTAATACCGAAATTTGGCCAAGTCTGTAGAAATAGCGATTTGAAAGAATTCTAAAAATTGTCCATGGTATCCATGGTAACACCATTATTAAGATAAAAATACAATATAGAATTATGTATCTACTTTTTTTGGGGGGGGGGGGGGGGGGTAACCAAAAATTATTTAAATTTGATTAAAACTGTAAGATGTCTATATAGCGTTTCAAAAGACGACGAACATCTAAATTTTACAGAGGCACAGGTGGTCTCTTACCAATAGAGCTACAAATGACTATAAAAAATCCTTACCGGAAGTAAGTTTTTACAAAAATGAGTGATTACGACCTAAAAAAATAAATCTATGTTATTTAATGCAAAAATCAGCCATTTTTTGCTACTTCCGGTTTGACGGAAGTGACGACGACGGATGGAAAATTAATTTTTATGCTCCCAAAGAGCAAACTTCCGGTTTGGCCGGAAACGTCGTACTTTGAGTAGTATGAGTGAAAAATTCTCAAGAGGGACGTTAAACAATATACAATCAATCAATCAATAGATTAAGCTTGACATATTGAACAACTTTGCTTCTTTGATGTATATAAATTCTCAATACTTTATGAGATATAAAGGAAAAACTTTTGGCCCCTCTTGGCCCTTAATTTTAGGGGCCAGCCCTTTTTCCGAGATATCATTTGAAAGACCTTCTCATTCTACACAAATTATGTTCTATATATTTTATCAAAATATTCTAGTTTAGAAGATAAAAAGCAAAATATAAGTAATTTTTGGCTTTTTTAAGCGTTCTAAACCCCTAATAGCGCCATTTTGAAAGAGAAATTGAAAAACAAAAACCGATGTGCACAACTTCAATCCTTCTATTATAAAAAAAAAGCTTTACAGCCTTTGTCTGGAAAAAAATAAACGTTTAAAGGGAAATAACTCAAAACCGGAAGTGACTTTTTGAAATTTTCGACAGCATTCTGATAGACAAGTGAAATCAATTGAGAAATGAGTGAGATATAAGAAAAAAAAAAGAATAATAATCTTTACCAACAGAACGAAGACCTTAATGAATAAAAATTTACCAATAGTGTTTGACGATAAAAAATATCAATATTGTCAAAGAAACCCCAAAGACAGGAAGTAGAATTGCAAACAGCAAAGGTAAAGCGTCCTGTTTAGAAGACTGAATTGTTGTTGTATCTGAAACAGAGTATTATAAGTATGATTAAACAATCAAATGTAACATTAAGTTTTTTTTTAGAAAAAAAAGAAAAGAGTGGTCATTATAAAATAAATACATTTAAATACAAATCTGAGAACAGGGCATACAACACGGACCTCTGAAATTTCTAGAGGTGAGATCAGATGCATATGGATGGTAAGCATCCTCTGTCGAAAGGTCACAACGCCGTAGTCCGGGGTATTTTTCATGTGGACTAGAATTTCTTAGGTAAATTTAGCATAAAAACCCCTAACAATTGATATGCCCAAAAAGTCAGTCAAATTACGAACCAGTGATAGGGTATATTTTCTTACAAGGCACTAGTAGTTATAAAAACCATAGACTGTATAAAATCTTATATTAAACAAGATTGTTAAATTCACTGTAACAACAACTGTCAGTACATGTAGCTTGTCTTGTTTTAAAAAGAAAGAAGTTGACCACATAATAGGCTTGTCATAACGTTTAATATGTATTTTAGGTTTTGGTTCGCCATGTTTGTCTGTAGTTTGTAAAATGTTTAAAATAAGAAAACGATGAGGCAGACTTTGAGTTGTCGTGTGTGTCTGTCTGATTATGTTAACTGTATATAATTCAGCTGCATCTTTAATTTAAAAAGAATAATTCAATAAGATTTGCCACTTTCAAAATAAATATTCTTTTTTCATAATCAACAAATAAATTATTAAGGTAAGAATCCTATATGAAGTTTATGGAGATAACGAACAGTATTCAAGCTCAAAAGTCCATTAAACAAGACAAAATAGGAGCAAAGCTAACAAGGACCTCGAGACATCAGAGGTGCCATGAAAGAGTGAGCATTCCCTGCAGACCGGTCACACACGCAGTGTTCTACTTGACGTGATCATGAAATAACGGAAAATCCGTCGTAAACTTAGTGTGTAAATAATGGTCTAACAATAAGTATGAAAAACTTCAGCCAGCATTTGACTGAATGATCAATTGTAAGTCAATAATTAACCTCGTTTTAGAAAAAGTACATACCTAGAGCATGCTTTTGAGTATCGAATAAACTGAGAGATATAAACTCCGTATGCAGATGATGAAAGTATGATAGAATTGCTGAATAAGTGAAATTGTTGACTATTGAAAAGTTAAAGTCATCACGTTTATCATAGAGCTCGGTGGTTATATTATCATTAACGTCTTTTACCATTTTTTAACAAAATATTAAATGAATCAAAATATTTTGTAAAAATATTTTCAACAAAATAATTTTGCAAATGACCAATGGCAAGGTAAGTAAATTTACGAGTTCCATTTTTATTGTAAAGCAGCTGTCAATGATATCAAAAAGCCCTGAGTTTAATTTATCGTGATGAATGGTTATATATAAAATAGAAAAGTTGTAAGTTTTTAAAGTGTTGATTTTTGTCAAATGTTGTGATTTCTAATTTTCTAGAAGTTCCTTGGATCTTTAAGTATCCTTAATTACCCAATTCTCGAATATATTGTTGCACTGTGGCAATGCACTTTGAAAAATTATGCACTTTGAAAGAAATTTTCAAAACTGCGTTAAAAATGGAATAAAATTAAAGCACTTTGAAAAAAATCAAAGTGCGTTAAATTAGGGACAAAATCAATGCATTTTGAAAGTATTTTTCAAAGTTCTTTAAAAGTGTACTTCAACATTTTTTTACCATCGACACTCTTAACTAACTTTGAAAAATATGTATAAATAAAAAAGTCTGGACGTTGATTTTAGTGACAGACAGCATCAATTTGTTATATATTTCTTTCGAAAAACTGATGAATTTATACACTCTCATCGAGAACGAGGAAAGGACAGGTGAAAGGTATTTCAGTGGAACTCTATCTTTCCTCCCTAAATACCCAAATATGTAGTTACATAACTCTTAAGATACTGATGTACTTTCTCTCAATAAGTTTGAGTTAACGTTAAATAGTTGAAAAAAAAATAATATAAGCCTTTTTGCGAAAAAAAAACGCAACCCTATTATATTAAAGAAGTGGGCTCGGGGGGATATCACTGATCTAAGCAATAATAGCCAACTGAATATTCTTTGGCCAAAAAAGCTTTACAAAATCAAATACAATACAATACAATGAAAAATCAAACAAAAAACTTTTTAAAAAAGGCATAAATAATTTTTTCCATACATTTCAAAACAAATCAAAAAATTTAATTATAGTAAAGCAAAACAGTATATACGTGGTAGACAGCATTTTTAATGCTTCTTAATACAAGTCAAATAACTAAAAATTGCCTTCATATTTGGGCGGAAAATTATTTTTAATTAGCAATGCTTTAAATAAAACTCTTTTCTACCCCTAGATTTACCGAACTTTTTAAAGATTGGATAAAATAAACGAAATTTTGCTATTAAACAACCATTCCTCCATCATTTATAAAAAAAATTTCCTTTTTAAAACATTCACGAGTACCTCTGGGAACATGACAGCCTTTAATAATCTTTAAAATGTCTATTTCTCAGATCCTGAACTAATGTCATCATCGAAAAATTATTAAAATTAGATTCAAATAATTTTATATCATGCCTTAAATTTGAAGAATATTAACCACGACGTACACTTTTTTCAAGGTGCGTTAATATTGTCGATATCAACACACTCTGAATTTTTTTTTATCAAACTGTGTTAATGAGTTCCAATATTTAACGCACTTTGAAAAAAAAAAATTAAAGTGCGTAATTTTTCAAAGTGCGTTGTAACATTGCAAAATATTCTTGAAGTTTCTTCTTCGATCATTACTGTTAATATTTTAGTGAGGCGTAAATAAGAAGGTTTGGTTGTCTTGAACACTTCCTGAAACCCCTATATATTTTTTTTTTGGATTTAAGGGTTTTTATGAAGTGAAGTTTATCAAGTTTCAGAATCCAAAATCGATATGGTAATTGAAATTCATTTTGGTCGTTTGGGATATTAAAAATATATCAGAACAGACATATGATTTTAAAAATTTCTTCCTCAGAAAGGGAGTTATGAGTATAAGCTGGATTACCACTTGTAGAAATAAATGCAAGTCCTTCTAAAATACATTTTTTATAATGTGCCTTACAAACGAAGACAATGTTGTTACTTGTCATCAGGGACCGGTACATACTGATTATGCAATCTTTCCTCTGTAATCCAGGGTATGATGAAATAAAGATATGAACTTACCAAAGGGACATGTACAGTTAAGACTATTGCAGTCATCACAATCACACCTTGTTAGGCATTTATAACCACAGTAACCAGTGGGACAGTCTCGAGAACAATGAACTCCATAACTTCCATTGCAAGCTGAAAGGACAACGTAAGGAAACAGATGTCAAACCAATTGATATGATAATATAAATTTTTATTTTTATTTTTGCTCTTAGGAAGGATTGTAAGGAATTATTCTAAATGAACTCATCTTTACGTTTTTTTTTTATTCTAGCCCTTAAAAGAACTAAAACTGTTTTGCTGTAAATATTATTTAAATGTTTCCTTTTCTTGAAGTATGGTTTTATCCCCCCCCCCCCCCCTCTCTCTCTCTCTCTCATCAGGATATGAATTTATGCTAGATATAACTTGGATCAAATTTATTTAGATATAATAATTACGCCATCGCTACACCAGCAGGGGTGTACTTTTGATTACAAAACGTTACAAGTAATAATACCAGATATGATTACAGATACTTATTTTTACAGGTTTTTTTTACTATTGAGTAAAATATTCCATATTTGTCGGTCATAATTATTCTAAAAGAATACATACCAATGCATTTTTCTTTGATTTTTTTGTAGTTGGTGCAACATCTTATGGGTCTATAGGTAAAAAAACAACTAAATTGAGAGAGATTAACATTTAATATAACATTTAAGGACATACACAACGTACTTTACCGACTGATACTTTTTCAAAATTTCCTTCAATTAAAGCCACAATATCATTAGGTGTTCATAGACAAAACATCCACATACATTACCAGGGTTTTTGAAAGATATCAATTGAAGAAAATTCTTGGATGATACAAAGAAAAATATATAAAATTTTTTGAACGTATTCCAGATGGTAAACGTATTCTGGAAGAAGTGTAGGCCATATATAGATATTAAAATATAGTGCTCACACAGTTCCTTCAAGTATTGGAACTCTTCAACTACATGGAAAATAAATCAAACACATTTACAAATCTTAGTAAATAAATAAAAACTCAAGTACTTACTCAGATTCAGTTGAACAAACTCCGTCATTTTCTGTTCTAATAGGGCAAACAATATGCAAAAATAATGATGTTTGTATGAAATTTTTCAACATTTGTTGTTTTAGAATGAAATATGATGCTCAAGATAATGAAGTTATGAATTCCACGAAACATTTAATACCCTTATTATCATTTACTAATTCTTTAAAAGTTTCCGGGATTTATTCTCGAACCAATCTAAAGCATACGTGCACTCTTATATTAAAAGAGGAAGCGTTTGAACGGAATAACATGTAAATATAATGAAAATGTACATTAAAAGAGAATTTAGACGAAATTTATTTATTCGAGAAAACTAGTAAACAGTTGTCTTCAATACTGTTTTTCAACATGTCTATGCAAGTTGAAGAATCAAATTTTGATGACTTCTTACTATTTTTATTTAATGAATAAAGTAATGATGCGTACTTTCTGTTTAAAATCCATATTTTAAGGTACATGTATTTGATATGCAAATAGCTTATTTAATGTTTTCTGTAGAGTAGAGCAACACTGAAAACTCACTTTATCTGGATTTGTCTGTCCGTTTGTCACACCTTATGGTGTTGTGTTATTTAAAAAAGATTTTATTTTAGCTCGATCACGTACTGTTCGTTATCGTCACCTTTTACATCTATACTTAATTCCCCGCATGTCGCAGTGGTTACAGCGTTAGTTCTAGAGTCGAGGAGTGGGGAGCTGATCCTTACGTAAAGAGTTCAAATCCCACTGCTGGACGTGGAGACCGGTCCTTCGATCAGATTACACTTATAAATCAAGGTTGCAGGAGGTGTTGGCACGAATAAGATCCTGCACTGCTCAATGACCTCGAGAGCCGAGTATGTCTAAATCTGCATCCTTCTCTCAGCAGGTGTTAGCTTTACACTTGATATGAGTGAACGATTCTGGAGAGGGGCATACACAAGGGCAAACAAACAAAACAAATATATCAACGATGGAAATTATTATAATTTTTCAGAGACTTCCGAGTATTCCATTCCGAGGTCTCTGGTTTTACCCTACATCTATAACCTCATTTTGTATCGAGGTAATTTACGAGGAATAAATGAGCAATAAAGAGGCGCGACCAGAGACTTCTGAAACGATTAAATTGACAAGAAAAAAAGTTTCTCAAAGCGAAGGATGTCATAGTAGGTTAATGATTGATATACATGTATTAAGAAAATACAAGCTTGAAGTGGGGTTGCCTGAAATTGCGTTAGGAAACCTTGTGGTAAAATAATTAGGAATGCTACATATATGAAACATTTGCATGTGAGTCAAATCGTGAATCTCAGCTTACGAGTTCACCATTGAACAACTACCGGTATGCTCAACGTTACAACGATGGGAAACAATGAAAAGGTGTGTCAAACTATCAGTCAATGATCTATTGAAAGTCTGAAAACAAGGTATTTTTTATTAATCTGTAATAAGGTATATAAACACCGATTCCCGGAAATACCAGTATTAGGATCAGGTGCCATGGAGGAGTGAGCATCTTCTGTCGACCGTTCAAACATACCTTGAGCTGTGTTTATTGATCATGTTGATACAGCATTAAATCGTGAAGTTTTGCAATTGAATAAAAACAAAAACTACAATTGGCATAAAGCAAGTCAGTCAAAATAACAGTTAATGAGTATGTAGAATGCAAATACTGTTCCTCTATTACCCTGTTACCTAACATTGTACTTTCTATTGCGTGTACTGGTGTTAAAAACATTAAATAAAAATCTTGAAAATTTCTTTCCAAACGTATTGTTTTCAGACTAAATTTAAATATTTGAAGAGAAACCTATTTTGAGCTCTAATCTTACTTCTTTGTTATGTTTAACTACAGTATGTCTTGATTTACGGCAAATTGTCCAATTAGCGAGCGACACTCCTCGAACTTTGGAATATACACCACCTGTTCAGTGGAGCAGGAGGAGTTTGGATCATTCCTAACTTCCTTTAGTGCAGAGAAAGTTCCTGGTGAGACTTTTCAATGGCTCAAGAATGATATCCCTCCTGCTGGCTACAGTTTTTCATCTAACACCTCTTACACAAATAAAAAAGAAAAGGACCTGTGTTTATTGGATACCCGTTAACTCATTTAGCTTCCCTTATTGGTCTCAAAGTAAATCAAGATAATTTCTTCAAGTCCTTGCTAGCCCAAATTGGTTGTACTCCATTTTGCATTCGCATGTCCGAATCTTAGCATTTACAGGACTTTTTTGTGTATTAACCACAATAAATGAAGTAAATTTTTTTTTAGTCTAAAAGCAAGTGAAGGGTGAAAAAATATACTAGGATTGACATAGTTTTTCAGTAAAAGTACACAAACAGCGCCAATAATATCTCAATACACATTCTTGGCTGCTTAAGTGTAAGTGAAAGTTGTTTGCCCGTTTTGGATGTTCAAGAAAATTCATAGCGTATATGAGGAAAATTTTGAAAGTAAAATTGTGATTGAACTTAGTAAAATGAATGATAACTAAAATTATAACTTGAATTATTCCTGTTCACTTCTTGGGGAGCATATGACCGCAACCACACCGCATCATCGGACTCTGTGTTGGGTAATGTTTTATTAAGGTCCAGGTAAAACCAGCCTCTTTTGCCTCTATTTCCACGGTCTCCCTTTTCGAGGTTTGTCTGGGTCTTCCAACCTTCCTCTTTCCTTGTGGTTTCCAACGTAAGATGTTTACTGATGTTTTAGAGGGTTTGCATAAAGTAGGCCTATCCATAGAATCAGGTGCTATGAAGGACTGGGCATCCGCTGCTGACCAGTCAAATCAGTGGGATTCTTGTCACGATCAATGAAATGACGGAAAAATCCGTCGACAATTCCGTGTGTTAATAATGATCTTACAATAAGTAACTAATAATTAATATGAATAACGTCAGTCAGCATTTGACTTAATGATGTATTGCATTTGTATCGCCCATGAATTTTATGAAATTATTACTTTTAACGAGATTGCTGAGACTGATATTAATGTTTCATCTTCTTGTTTGTCAAAAATGTTAACAAGTTGTTTCTTACTTAGAGTATGCTCTTGCGTATCAAATATCAACTGAGAGACATAAACCCCGTATGCAGGCGTGTTAGGTATATTGCTCCATAGGAAACGGAAGTTGACGATTTTAAATTCAAAGCCATCCTGTTTATCATAAACTTTTCTTGTTAGATTACCATTAACGTCTTTTTTGTAGTAAAATATTCTAATGTCAAACAAACCTGCAGGGTTCCCCCATGAACTGTTTCATTGTGTTTGTACCGACACAATAACGATTCAAATTTTATGCCTGCGACACAGTAAAAATTTTGACAACGCAGTAAGATCTGTGATAATCAGAATATCCAAAATCTTTAATCAAACAATTACACCGTCTTTCAATTCTAAAAGGTAGAGCACTTAATTAGGGCTTCACCTTGAATAATCTATCATCTCCTTATAAGACTCTCGCCGGACGCATGAAGGAACAAAGACAAATAATTTGTTTTCACACTTCCATGTAGAGGTTAATTGGTAGTTGCCTTAAAAATGCATCGTATTATTTTGAAAAAAAAAATGTTATTTTTGTTGGTCTTTTCTATAGAGCCACAACTCTAGAATTATGCTAGTACTGTAAGTCAAACATATAACATCGTACCAAAATCATTTAATTGATGTAAAAACATTGTTTTAAAATTTCAAAGAACTCTTAAAAGTATTTTACTATTCTGAAATTTCTTTTCTTTTTTTTTTTTTTTTTTTTTTTTTTTTTGGTAATTAGATAAATAAAAATGACAAAAATCACGGCAAATTTACTTTCAAAATGGTAAGTAGTTCGACAGTATCGACCAGAATTTCCTCTTCTTTCAGAACATGTGTTTTTACTTTTATCATCATATATGATCATATCATTTGTGTAACGAATTATTAATTTTTTAAGGTGTGTATTCTTTCGTAATTATAATGAATAGTGATTCAGTTATGAATTTGATCGCGAAAATACCACTGTTCCAACCACTATTGAAATAACAACCACTATTGAAATAATTATATCAATAGTGGTTGAGAGTGCATTTCAATAGAAAACATGGTTAGTAACCACTATTGAAATAAAACCACTATTGAAATAATTATATCAATAGTGGTTGAGAGTGCATTTCAATAGCAAACGTAGTTAGTAACCACTATTGAAATAAAACC